TTCGGACCTGGAGCTTCAAGAGATCACCGAGTTTCCGTTTGACTCACCCGAACCACCCCAACTTATGGCATTGTCACCGGTCATCTCAAAATTGGATCATCAGGAAGTTGTTAAAACACTTCCATTCCTGGATTCCGTGCTCAAACACAGTGCGTTTGTTTATTCATCATCATTATCAAAATTATTTAAGAAATTTTCCTAATAGTCTCTATTCCGTCGTTGTTGTTGTTGTTGTTCCATGCTTACCGTTTTCACATGTTTAGTGGCATCGTCAGGCCGCTACAGAAGCTGCATTCCTCTAGTAACAACTGTTTGTCGAATCTTCTATCAGATGCCCCCATGTGGATGGGTAACAAAGGCGTGAATCTAACTCCCGTTGCTTGCGGTTCTATGGGTCCACTATTTTCACACGGACGCCGATTCAACAGATTCGTTCTTGTCCACATTTTGATAAGCGACATGGACCACTCATCATTCGCCTTAACGTACCTGCGTCGCAACAAAAACTGGTTGACATGAATTTCGCCTGTCTTTCTGTTGTCAATCGTGCATGGATGCATTCCACAGAGAAGTGATGCCTGGAATGTCTAATTTCCATGTTGAATCGCATGGGATATTTATATACGGTTGTCCAGCATGAAAATCGAATATTCTTCTGCTAAACCCTAATAAAACTCCCATTCGGCTCAGAGCAAGCCATTTTGGTCTTTACATCTAATCACTCTACAACTAGACCATAGACCGGTTTCAGATTATATTTTCTGTGCATCACGGAGTACCGGTGAGTTCGATAACAAATTGAAGCGCAGTTGAAACGTAAATCAAGAATGTGGAAAACATGGTGCAGTGGTTAATACGCATCCATCAACCTCTGAGTTTCAAAACTGTGTACTGAATATTGGTCTGATTATAACCATACCAGTCACAGTTTTCTCTCTCTTGCGCGCGCTAGTGTTTGTCTGTACCTTAAATGCGTCATGATTGTTGTTGTATACTTTTGACAGTGATTGTCCTCAAGTTTTGATACCAGCTCCATTCTTTACTCCCTCACCTCTCTCTCACTCTCTCCAGACGTTATACCTGAGGCCACGGACTTGTTCTCCTTTGAACTGGAATCCAACGGAATCCCCAATGATCTGAAAAATTTCACCGATACAACAACAACCATAGACGTGGATTGGTTCGACCTAATCGATACAAGTGATACTTCTGGTGATCTGGGTGACATCCAACTAAGCCCTGTCCCGAAAATTCTTCATTCCCCACCGGAACCCGTTCAACCTGATGTGAACAAATCGCGCCTGGCCTGTTCTGCTTCAACCTTTTCCACTTCGGTCCCTTGCCCCACACCATCGCGCATTTTCTCAACAAATTGTCGATCAGATAGTCACCAGAGAGGAAGAAAATCTTCCCCTGATCTGCGACTAAAACTCATGGATAAAGAATGTCGAGATATTGATCATGATCTTGATGCAATTGATTTCCACAGTGATGATGACACAGTAAAAGAGGGCGATTTATCAGATGCAGGTTCAAGGGATTTTGCAGATGAAGGTGACAGCTTTGTGCCCGTACGATCTCGCACCGGTTCGATCCACTGTTCTAATAGGTACCTGCACAATGAGGATATCGTTAATGGCAGACCGGTAAGTGAGACATTCGTTATATATATATCACACGACTGTGTGACAAGCAAGTCACTAGGTCAGCCTAAGTGAATTTTCTTGGAGAGTTCACAACCAGAGCCTTCGGCTAGCCAAAACTTGACACGCGAGCTAGTGGAGTGGTGTGTGAAAACCGCAATCTTTTGGGGGGTCGGTGTACAGTTAATTTGATCATACGCCCTCCGAACTAGGTCAGGCTGCCCCATACACCTCGGTGCTCAGTCGAGTTGTGAACCTCTACCGCAACCAAAAAGGTGTGGGTGTGGTGGTTGTTTTGGAATCAGAGCTTCCTCCCAACTCCCCTAGGTGAGCTGTCAGTGGTTCCTCGATCCGGCTATAGCCCCGGATTTCGGCTTTTCATCCTATCTTTGGTGAGAGAACACCTCCGCCACGAGAAGGCATTGAGTAAGTCTTCCTCCACAGAGACTGTTTGAGAACCTTGATTGTACTGGAGCATTTCTTAAGGTGCAGACAATCTACAGTGATGTGTTTAGATGAGCCCATCCGATTGGTTTTTGAACCTTGCCATCCATTTAAAAGGTTTATAGCGTTATAAATCAAATGAACTCTAACTGGAATGGGACCTTTTCTCGTATTATATTTGATCCGAAACGTTTTGAATTACTTTGATAATCCATCAAATTTGTGTTTATGATTTCATGCTCCATATCCGGTGATTGGTACCACAATATGCGGTCACATCTAATTACAATAATAGGATGCATTAAAGATGGTCCAAAAAAGGCGTTGCGTGCTCTATGCATTATCTGAGTCTCTGTATCCTGCGTTCAAGCTAATGGAACAACTATGGTATACACCTCATTTTTATTCTTTGTTTGAATGTAACCCTGGTGCCACAAATCTCATCTCATCCGGTGGACGCATCACGAATGAAGTGTCAGCTCACATAGAGAAGGCTCGGTTGGCATTTGCCACTTTGAGACATTTGTGGCGCCGTCGCGACGTCCGGTTGCCTGTGAAGGGTGAAGTATAGTTTGCAGCAGTTCGACCAGTCCTGCTCTACGGTGCAGAGACTTGGCCACTACGGGAACAGGATAAACATAGATTGTTGGTCTTCGAATACCACTGTCTAAGTCTCATTGCACGAATCTGGTGGAGCATCCGGAGAAGGAAAGCTGAGGTTAGGCGCTGAGTTTTGGGAAATCGCAGTCTCCCAGCAGAGCAAATGATCGATTTTCGTAGAGTACATTCGTTGGGGTATGTGTTAAAAATGTCGCCATATAGGTTGCCACGGTGAGTGATGTTTGCCGAAACAGATAGTGGATGGTATTAAGCCAAGGGCGGTCAACCTAAGACCTGACACGAGAGTATGAAATTCTTAGCCAGGATACTGGGTTAAATAGGGCTCCCTGACTGGGAACCTCAAGATGATCATAACTAATGTTTAGAGACATTCAGTCATATGGACGAGTACCACGAACAGTAGCTTTTGAGTATCTTCTCAAATTCTTTGCAATCTTAGACCACTAAAATTCTACATTTTCTGCACGACTCTACTTTCCCATTTTCTGTCTTCTATTCTTCATCCAGATGAGCAGCCAAAAGATAGCAACCAAAACCGGCGCACGAAAGTGCATGACTAATGATTGTACAACGGAACTGAACTAAAATTTTAAACACAGTGAACCGGAGTGGGTGTGCAGCATTTTTAAAGAGTTCACTCGCCACCATAAAACCCAAGATGCAATCACGGCAAAGTTACCAGCTCTGTCCCAGCCAAAATTTGTAGAGGGCGAGGAATCGGTGGTTACAACGACGATAGCCGAGACGTATACCGAAGTGGTGCAGCAAGTAAGTCCTAAAAATCCAGCACCACAAACTCGCAAGCCACAATTAGAGGAAAAGCAATTCAGAACCAAACCGAAATCGATAAAGGAACACATCATCAAGGGTGTCCGAAATGTATACATTGCGTGGAAAAATATTCTCCAACGAGACTGGCAGGGCAAAGAGAACCTGTAAGCACAACACATTACTGGTCATTAATAAGGAGGAACCAATTATTAAGGAGTCCAAAATTCGGTGCGAGCTGGAACGACGCCGCGTGATCGATGTCTTTAGTTTTGTAGGTTCATATTCAAGGTCTAACATCAAAAGGATACCTAGAGTGGAGGTTTGGAAACAGCCAAACTCAAACGGAAAACCTGATTCCAGACCGGTATTAGTGCAATTTGAAGAAGCAGTACCAGGGGTATTGCTCTTGTTCAGAGCAGACTTTATTCGTGAGCACAGAAAAAAGCGTAACGATATCACCCAGGAAAACCCAAGACCACAAGTACAGTATAGAGGATCCAAAGGAAACGCCAGTAGCTACGTTAAGACGCAACCAAAGTAGGGTAGTCATTATCGAGGATATAATAGAGGAAGAAGAATAGATGACCTTTTTGCAGAGCAGGTCGGCAGCTGAAGGGACCGAATCGTTTTACAAAAGTCGACACCACTGAGGAATCTACGAACTCCAAACTTAGGATGCGTGAGATAATCCCAGAAAAAGACCAACCAAGGAACGGTGTCGCAGCTTGGGCGCTCTTCTCGAGGAGTTGAAAGTTGCAGCGATTGCAGTCTCTGAAACATGATTACGCGAAAGCGAACACGTCCTACAGACCATCACAAAGTGCTTGGAATTCCACAAACAGGATAGAGGGGGCAAGTGAAAGGTGAAGGAGAAGCACTACTCGTTCTTGTGGCGGGCCACAATGGTTAATGTTGGGTCCACTTCTATTTCTGTTGCTCACAAATGTTGTAGCAGAAATTACCAGATGGCCGTGCGTCATCTTCTCTGATGATGCAATTGTGGTTGGATTTAGTGAATAATAATAATAATAGTGGGATATTGTACGATATGCGCGAAGCATGCTATAGCGCATGGTCATAGTGCGCAGTAAAAAACAATGATCAGGGAGAGCTAATAGTACATCGGAAGAGGGAACATGCGTAGAGATGAGATGAAAACGTTAAACGTGGTACTTAGCGAAAGCAAATCGAGACATGAAAGAGACAGCGGATAATCATGGTTATTGCGTAAGTTAGTAAGCACGAAGCAGTATGCTAAATAGAGTTTTATTGCATGTGTGCAGTTAATAATGAACAAGAAGATGAAGAAACTGGAAAAAAGAACAATGGTCAAAAATAATAATAATTTAAGGCTTCAAATCGAATGTATCTATTATTGTGTCAGCTGTTATTCTCCATCATTGATAGGAGCATAGCGGGTCATGGAAAAGGTGAAGTGCTGGAGTGCTAAAGTGATGGATGATGCCATGAACGAAAACCCGGCAAAAACTACGGAAGGAAACGGGAGAAATCAAAGTTGAATAACCAATTCCTTTTGTGCAAATCGATGGTGGTTCTTATTTTTAAAATCCATTCATAGAAGATTCTATAGACATCTTTTGTCTGTTTATTCAACTGCTGTAAGAACAGCTTGGGTAAGCGTGATGGGAAAAAACAACATGCTTCGTATACGAGAAGAGCATAAGTTCCGAGAAGAGACTATAGCAAAGCAACCTTGAGTCTAAAGGAAAAAATTAAACTGGAAGAAATCTTGCGGATTCAGTAAGACTTCCACAATGAACATATGGGTCGGTACCAACTTTTCATCGAGGTTAGGTAAGCATCGACGACGACAATAAAACCGCGGGCTCAGTCTTCGATCAGAGCCATGGAAAGTATTTTCGTTTTCTAGAAGGCGATATTGCGAATGTGGTCAATGGGTCCCACACATGCCTCTGCCTCTGAACGCAACAAGGAGTCAGTTGCACTCGAAACCTCGGGAAACATTATTAGCTGAAGGAGATTTGGAACAATTCGAAGTAGGCAATGCACTCAGCGCCAGGGATCTGGAAGTCATAATGACTGCAGATTACGGTTGGAGTACCCAATGGGAACCTACAGCACACGCACACGACAACGGCTGTTTCGAATAAGATCAGCAGTTTTGTTTGGGAAAGTATATGTGTTTATACCTATCTACAAAGCTATTGTAATGTCTCAACTAAAGTATTCTGTTCAGTCTCTGTCTCTCTTCTAAAAAAGGACGCAGCCCAACTGGAGAAAATCTAGAGACAAGTAACAAGGACGGTTGTGGGCATGAGAGGTAGATCATACAAAGAGAGACTGTGCGCACTCAGTTTTTTCACTAGATAAAGGGAAGCTGAGCGGAAATCTCATAGAAGTATCTAAGATTCAGGATACTGGGATCGGACGCTAGAACCCTCTTTGTTCAGGCTCCTCACCAATAAATGCATGGTCATGAACTCAAAATCGTGAAACAGCATTTTAGGCTGAATCTATGAGCACACCACTTTAGCAACAGTGTAGTAGGTAAATGGAATAAATTACAGACTGACTTGATCAACGAACCAAATTTCCATGCCTTTACAATACCCTGGACGCCAGATGGTTGGAGGTTTTCCAAAGCATAGAATGTTAGGATTCAAACTTGTTTTGTGTGGCGTAGAAAACTATCACATAAAAATTCCTCGCCGACACTGTGAGAAGTAAAGCCTCTCCTTTTTCTGTTCAGGTCAGGTCATGTCAGGTCGCAGCACTTGCGGCTGGTGCTAATGATAGTTCAGGTTCTTGCACCGTGAGCGTATCTTTTGCCTACGTGTGCTTCGACAACAAAGAATCCTTCACGAGCTGATTTTCGGGCCCCTCGGTACTTACGTGGAACAGCTTGCCGTCTCCGTTGTTACTTTTGCAGCTGAGAAACTTCAGTGCTGAAATGGACTGCCTGAAGGAAAAAGAACAAGGGATACCTGCAGTCTATCTATAGGCCTGACTGAGCGGTTACTGGGGTGAGGCCTTCGTATAACCTATGCGGTTTTCGAATTGTGAGCGAATTCGAATACACCCAATAGAGTGCGGAGGAGAGCTATGGATAAAAAGCAACAATAAGTGTTGAGTACGATGAAGCACAAGGTATGGTATGTGAAATCATTTCGGGGAGTCTCATATTCAGCAGATTGGTGCCAGTCTAAAACCTGTCGTCGGAGTTACCCACGTAATCTTCCTTCCATCTATTTTACTCCGCATTGCTTGTTTTCACCTTTCAGACATCTTCATGCTCCTCTGCACTAGTATACCCGATAGCATCAAGTGAAACAATCAAAAGAACTGGAAATTCCTTTCAATTACCTTGCATTTCCTTATCTTTATTCGCCCTTCTATCGTGCATTCTGTCCGACAGTGGTTTTTATGTCTGTGAATTTTCTCTTCTGAACCTTCTATTTCATCTTTTTTACGGTGAAGCATATCTATTGTACACACACTTCAAGTGCTTTGCTCTTATATGTAAATGGGATTCAATGCTTTTCTTGTTTTATTGCGACCAAAGTTTCGATTGGACTCTC